TCCACCCAGGCGTTGAAGGTGTTGAGCAGGGTGAAGGGGTCTCCCTGGTTGCTGTGCAGGGGCTGGCGGGCGGTGGCACAGTCTGGGTTGTGTTGTGAGCTGCGCAGGAAAGGCGACTGGACGCTGAGGGCTGCTGCGACTGTCAACACCGGCTCCACCAGGTTAAACAAAGAGCCCAGCACCAGCATCTTCCCTGAATGAACACAAACACTCAACCTAAATCTAACTGTTGGATAAACATGACAGCACCTGACGCACCAGCATGTTGGCACCAAATTACTGTGAAACTCTGTAAAATTACCTCTAGTGAAAGAGATGTGTCATATTTAAAACTGTTTAACATTGCCTCGTTATTTTATGCAGTTTGTTGTATGATAATTGGGGGAACAAAAGCGAAGTAGTGAAAAGATAGTTAAGCTACGATAAGGGTTGGGCTCAGGAGCTCTCACCTATGACCACGTCGACAGGCAGCTGTGCCAGCAAACTACCAATAGAGGTCAGTTCACTGCGATTGTCCAGCGCCCCCTGATCTTTCAGATATGTAACCGCAGTCTGGATACTTGCAGTCGGAGGAGGATCAATAAAGACGAAAGAAAGTGGATCTCCAAGACTCATGCTTTTCATCTGCAGGAACAAACAAATAAAGCTAGAATTTATCCATGGAACATTTAACCATTTAAAAGAAACGTTGCTCTCTGTGGAATGCTAATACCTGGAGAATGAGGGAGTCTAGAGCCACTCTGTGGATTTCAGGGACAGGATAAGGTGCGAAGGCATCGTAGTCTGACTCGGCGTAGAGGCGGTAACACACTCCCGGACCTGTGCGGCCGGCTCGACCTTTCCTCTGCTCGGAGCTGGCTCGGCTGATCCAGAACTCCTGCAGACGTTGCATCTTGGCCTTCGGATCAAAACTCATTTCCTTTACCTTTCCTATAAAAAGAAAAAAACAGCGAAACAATGTATTTTTATGGTTGCTGGTCTACTCTTCATCACTGTTGGAACTTTTGATCTCTTAGCAGGGTTTGAAATTAAGTTTTAAAGATCTTAAACAAAGCGTGGATGGACTTTGAAGAGATTATTGCCCAGCTACAAATAACATTTTCATACCTGAGTCAACAACAAAGCGCACTCCATCTATTGTAACTGAAGTCTCAGCAATATTGGTCGAGATTATGCACTTTCTCACCCCAGGAGGCGCGATGTCAAACACCTGGACAACAACATGATATCAGAGAATTACAACTAACACATGACACCCAGCATGTCAGATTCAAACTTTTCATGTCAAAGCTGACTGTGCCTTATCCTGCTGGACGAGTGAGAGGGTGCTGTGCAGCGGTAAAACTATCCAGCGCCGAGTGTGTGTGGCGTAAATCTGACACGCCTCTTGGATGGTGGAGATCTCAGCCACGCCGCTGAGGAAGAGGAGAAGGTCGCCACGTTCTTCAGGGGGATAACGCTGGTCGATGCCCTGAAGGATGCGCAGGTACGGCCTGGGGTCCATTTTTTCTGATCGGGAGGGCTGCTCCTCAGGTGGAATGGGCTGGTAGATCACCTTAGTAGAGGTAACAGAGAAAAAAGTTAGATATGGCTTAAAAGAAATGAACTCCCTAACCCTGAGAAAACACTAGAAACTGAATTTCTGGATTGTAATTTGTTAAATTTATGCTTTTGTAATTGGACACCAACCACTACACTACCAAAAATATATTTAACTAACTTTTTTCTTTCATTTTGTCATTTTTTTAAATAAACGAGAAACATTATTTTAAAAAAAGGCCTTTTACACTGAAATGATTTCATATTAATTGGTATTTTTTGATCCTTTGTAGATGCATCAAAAATGACCATCTGACCAGTCCTTGTGGCGGTTTTCACACTTTGAGTACACTTGGCTTTTAACACGCCAACCTCCAAACATGAAAACACATTACTTCTAGTGACACAATTACCTATGATATCCGCCATCCTGTGCTCACCTGAATAGGAAACAATCTGCCTGGAACCTGCAGCACAGGAGCGCTGCTGAAGTAGTTGGAGAACAGTTTGATGTTGATGGTGGCTGACATGAGGATGAGACGCAGGTCTGGGCGGTCGGCCAGCAGAGAGCGCAGGACGCCCAGGAGGAAGTCACAGTGGAGGTGTCTCTCATGAACCTCATCCACGATCACCACCTGGTACTGGGCCAGAGTCCTGTCCTGCTGGATCTGCCGCAGCAGCAGCCCCTCAGTCAGGAACAGCAGTTTGGTGGCTGTGGTCCGAGTGGTCTCGAAGCGGATCTGGTACCCCACCTGTAAATAAGGACGATACTTTGTGAGGCTTTTGTTCCCCCCTAAATATGAGTATTAATGCCGTTGTAATCAAGCCAGAGCTCCAAACAAACTGCAGTGTGTGTGTTTAGTTTCTGGTTTTAGCTCTTAATGTAATACTGTAGAGAAAGACATATGGTCAGATGTCTTACTCTGTGTTTTCTTTCCCTGCAGCCACACTGGCGTCACATCAGAATAGGTAACCGTAGACTGAGACCAGCGAGGTGCAGCAGAGAGCGCCACTGGAGGTCTTCTCTACCAGTGACTATCACATTATACAGCTGAAGGGCAGCTCAACACTGAGCAATAATACCAACATCATGTTGTGTAATGCTGTACAGTGGCTCGGTGCTAAGCATCATAAGCCAGATGATTGTCTGGCAATGATTTGTCTTAGATTTTGTATTTTATCTTTATTTTTTTCTAACTTAGATTTTTAAAAAAAATCAATGTAACGTACTTATATTGCCATTCTATTAGACACTACATTTATTCTCAGTTCATTTTAACGTTTTATAAGCAATATCTGACACAAGAACTTCCTTCAAGACTAATAAAGTTCTGTCGTATCTTATCCATCAAAGAGAAAAATTGCAGATGAGTAATTTTTGGACATTTAACTGATGGGCTGAAGGGCAAAATACACATGTGAGTGAAGTGTTGCTGGACTTGCTGTTTGATCATCAGGGCTGCACATGCAAAGTATCCAAGAGCACACAAATGTCCTCATCAGCAAGCAGAACTGATGACGTCTCTTAATGAGTTGCCGTTGATTGTGTGCTTCTACATATGTTGGATGAAGCTTCAGTGGGTGCATAGACATCATAAGAGTTTGTATTTGACAGACCTTTGAGCCGTACTGGTTGAGGCTCTCGAAGCTGACTCTCTTTGCCAGCGATATACAGGCGATCCTCCGAGGCTGAGTGCAGGCGACCTGGGTGAAGCCGGCCGACAGAAGATACTGAGGCACCTGCGTGGATTTCCCGCAGCCCGTGTCCCCGGCCACCACCACCACCGGGTGCCGCCTCACCAGCTCCACCAGCCGGTCCCGGTACTGGAAGATGGGCAGGTTCTTCTGCTCCCGCCGGAGCTTGGCCAGTTTCCCAAAGCTCTGTCTCTGGCTGAAGTCCAGGAAGTGCAGCAGAGCCAGGCGGCAGTCTGACACCTCCTGGGAGCCCGGTCCAGAGGATCTCTGCCGGCTCCGGTGCTCCGACTTCCCCAGACGCTCCTCGATGTCTCTGCTGCACACGGACACGTTGATCCGGTACCGAGCATCGTAGTCTTTAGGGAGGCCGAGATCCACCTTTCCAGAACCGGTCCTGCCGCTGTCCTCTCCTCGGCTGGCTCCAGGACCGGCCATGTCCCTCTTTGTTTTAAACCTCTGGAAGCGGTCAAAGAAAGCCCAGAACTCCTTGTGCTCCGGGCTGCCGGCCTGGATGTAGTCCTGCTCGCGGAAAAAGATCTCATCCAGCCGGGCTCGGCACTGCGGGCTGTCCCAGTCCCAGCTCCGGCTGTCTCTCCTCCGGTCTGAGTCCATCTTTGCTCCTCCAACACCAAACTGGAGTCAAGTTAATTCACTGATAATAAATAAAACTAACATTTAGAGGACTTTACACATGCAGCAGCTCAGTAAACCTGCTGGAGCCACTCTGGATGAACTACAGAGCAGCGAACGAGCTTCATTTCAAATTCCAATATTTTGTATTTATGTCTGAGATAAACATAATTAAAGTATTTAACATCGCTTCAAGCTGCTAGAGCTTCATAATAATATATCACGACAGTAAAACAAGAAAACTTGCTAATAAACACGGACAATTCCACTGAAGCTGCAGTGAAGCCGAGGGGAACAATAATACAGCCGGACCACTTCCGTTCCGTCTCTTAAAATCTTCCGGACGACAGACTGGATTTTGTTGTAATAACAGGATGGAAAAATATATATATTTATTTTCATCTGCACGTTGAAACAATGGTATAAACATACACCTATAGAAGCTACTCGACTTCTAATATTGAATATGTCATTTTGGAAATTGGAAAAACTGACATAAACTTTTAAAACTCATCACCCTTTTTCGGCAGTGACAGAGCCAGACAGTTTCTGTTTTTTTTTTGGGGGGGGGTTACTTAATTTTATCATTTGTTTAGGCAGGCATGGCTACCATGTAAAACCACTTAATCTAAATATAATATGAACACTTAACTTATATTCATTCCAGGATGTAATCATAACAGTATGGTTTCATGTTACTATGACATACAAAGTTATTATTCTAACCTTTTCTTGTTGTGACATCATATTTTACTTGTTATAATGTCAAACCTCTCATGTCATGCTGTGATATCGTATTGTTGTAATATAACACGTTTCCTGCTATCATGTGAATTTTTTTCTTTTTCTTTAGACCACTTGTTTCATTTAAACCCAATGAATATTTAAATATAAGTATCCAACTTAACTTGTTAGAATGTGGAAGTTTCCCATTATATCAACATAAATAGCATCTTACTCTAACTAGAAAGGCTTTTTGTTATAACATGATGACTCTGTGTGTCGTAATGCATGAAAAACACCTTCTTATAACAATAAACCTTTCGTGGTTTAACATGACACTGATCTGCTTTGTGGTGTAGCAACAACACACTTCCATCAGCCTGAAAGCAAAGTAATACAAATGATATAGATGCTGAAGGTTAAAATAGAAATATTTTATTTAAAAACATCTGCTATAAAACAAACATTTACATTTAAGACCGATTAAACTGCATAGACTGTACTAACATTGTGCTGGATTCAAAGAGGTCACATGAACATGATAAACATGACAGACAAAATGCAAAAGAAACCAGTATTTGACTCTGTTTCGTACTTGTAAAGAAGCAGTTCACATCTATTAAAAAGAAATGGCATCCATGAGGTGAAGGGAAACGCAAATGAACAATCACATCACTGATTTTCAGGGACTTCTGCTGGACTAATACCGATCCATAGGAGGTAAGATGGAATGATCTTGCTGTCATTTTGTCTTTTAATTTATAAAATACAGAACAACAAGACCCTGGCAGAAAATTATTAAGACTAAAAAACACACAAGACAGGAGTACAAGAGGGCACATTTCATAAGTGTACACGTGTAACAATCACACCTGGAATCTATTTCTTGTGCAGCATATAACATTGTTCTCCATCACAACATGATAAAAATACACAAAAATAAAACATTTATTTACAGTAAAAACATTTCAGCAACCCCGTCCTCAATAAAAACTAAAATCACAGTTCTTCAGGCAAACAGTGCGTTTTCCACTGCAGCTACGATTCGAAGGCATGACCGCCGGTCATCAGTTCCTGTTTTTGTCTGAGGCCTCGTCGGACCGTTTCACAGTGGACTCCTAAACTCCCGTCTTCTGTTTGATCCAGGCCCGGAATTTGGTGACTGTCGTGTAGATGCCTGGTTTGTTTCTGCGAGCGCAGCCGTCGCCCCAGCTGACCACTCCCGCCAGGAACATACGAGAGCGAGCTGGACTGGACAGCGGACCGCCAGAGTCGCCCTAAAAACGAATACACAAACACAAAAAGCACGTTAGCATAGAGGTACTGCATCATTTATCATTCTTGTCTCTCTGCAGCTTTCTTCAACTTATCTCCCACAGTCTCTCCTCTTTTGTTTCTCCATTTCTAAAATCAGAAGTGCGTTTTTCTACTGTCATGTTTTCAACGACACTGTAAGAAAAAAAGTCAAGAGCGCATGTCCAAACTGATGGCTGCACAACTGAACAGGCCAAACACCAAACAGCTGTTCAACTTCTACCTAATTTGTTAATAAAAATATAGATATTTGGATGCAAAGTCTGGACACCTCACGGCAAATTATAGAGTTTGCTGATTTTTTAAGGCAAGAATAGGACAAACCCTGCAGCAACCACACACTAAAACAAAAGTGAATACTCTTTTATGTCATGAACAGTAACTGTTGATGCTCAAAAAACTTGGTACTCTAATAAGTCAGCTGTTATGATAATCGATTAATTGGTTTTAGTCCTTCTTTTTAAGAAAACAGGTCTAAATTCTTTGATTCCAGCTTCTAAAATGTGGATATTTTCTAGTGTCTTTCCTCCTCTAAGGTAAACTAAACTTCTTTGAGTTGTGGCCTTGGTGACACTAATCTGCATTTTTCTCCAACAACTAATTAAAATTGATCCAAAAAATTTAAATCCTAGTTCATTGCAGCTCTAGTACTCAGTAAATCCCATTTGGCACAAATCACAAATCACAGCTGACAAACAAGATCTTATCTTGCTTCAGAAATTTCCGCCCACATCACCTCAAGTTGTCCTGCCCAAGCAGCATGTTTAAGATCTCCTCACAGATTGAAAACGATGCGTCGCCTCAAGAGATTCAGCTTGTTGAATCACTTTATGGTGTATAATGGATCTGCTTTGGATCACTGTCCTGTTGCCTCTTTTCAGTTTCCCATTTACAACAAACTACAGGACAGTTGCATCCAGAATGTGGTGATCTTTAGCTGAATCTGTGCAGTGTCACTTGCAGCTGCCACACGACCTCAAAGCAGGATATTTCCACCTTCACTCTTATTGCATGGAAAGGTTCTTGTCCTCAAATGCCGGTGCTCAGAAAGCTCAATTTAAACATCGTCTGGCCGCAGCACTTGTTTTCAAAACTACTCTAGTCAGATGATTTTTTGCACATATCAGACACTGACGTTTGTAAAGAAGCTGCAGGTTTCTCTAATGATTTCTCTACATGTTTGTGCCAAAGTGCTGCACAGTGAAATGCAGCTCCTCTGCAGTCATACAGAGGTTTTGCTTTTCCCTTCTGGCCAGCAGATGTGCAGTTTTAATTAAACTTTTTTTTTTTTGGCTTTCAATATATTTCCTTATCTTCCACAGCTGCCCCAAACTTAATGACATACTGAACAGTGGAAATTATATTCATTTGTACTTCAAAGAATCTAATTTACACGACGGAGACTCTTGATTTTTAAAACGTTCTTACTAAATCTCAGGCAGAAACACACAGAGGGTAAGAAAGAAGGAAAGAAAGCACATTTTAAAGTGTTTATTACCTGACACGCATCGACTCCTCCACTCAGCACTCCAGCGCACAGCATCCGAGACGTGATCTGTCCTCCCATTAATTTGTTGCACACCGCGCTGTTTATGGTTCGGACCTGAGCCTTTTGGAGCACCGATGCCGCAAACCCTGAACCACAAACACACACACAGCAGAGGTCAGCATCGCATTTAACTGTAGGTCTAAATGTCATGTCATCGAGACGCACTCTTGATACTCATACGGAGCCTTTTGTGGTATTAAAACTATTGTTCCTACTGGCAGGTCCACGGGAAAGCTGCTTGATGTGTATTAGCAGTCAAGTCAACAACAAACCAGGTTGTGATTACTTGTGAATCTCATCTATGATGTACAGTTTTTTTTTTTGCAAGAAAATTAACCAAATTTAACCTTAAAGTTGTGCTATTTCCTCAAAATCACAGTTTGCTCAAACCAAATTCTGCCAAAAGAGAAAACAGAGCTGGTTGTGTCTAATTACAGAAGCTTATGTGTTTTACAGTCCATTTAGTTTTGCACTATTACAGAAAATGTCAAATCTTCCATGATCTAAACTTTAAGTCACTCCATTCTTCAGGTGTGGGTGGTTCTACTTTTAACCATTCTGGCCTCAGTATTTCTTAAACATGGCTAAAATTTTGTTTGCACTCACCTCCTTCCCGCTTGGCGCCCCACCCAGTGATCCACACAGTGCTCCCAGTGGGGAAGTCGTGCTGGGCAGCTGGCAGGCAGATGGGCTGGATGTAGTCGCTGTAGGTGACGGGACTCTCCAGCTCCATGAGGGCGATGTCGTTGTCGAACGTGTAGTCGTTGTAATTCGGGTGAGATATGACCTGCTTCACGTTCTTCTTTACGACGTGCTTGGGTAATTTCTTCTGGGTGTGAAGGCCCATATAAGCTTCCCAGGTGCTGGGCTGCGAGTATCTGAGGACGCACACGACAAGAGGCAACACAAAGTTCACTCTCAGTCTAGAATTAACAGGCTCATTGTGTGACACAAGCATCACATTTAAAAAAAAAAAATGGAATGATTTATTAACAGTTATGATCACTGTCCTACTGAAAAATCCAACTCCAAAGTCATTGTAGTGAAAATCCATAAACATGAACCTACAAAAGAATGAACTATGAATAATGTAAATACCTGAAATATCAGGATCTTAGCTACCATATCTTTAATTTTCAGTACTGTGCTGGGAAACGGTCTAAACAATGCCTCTAAAGCCTCCACTGAGGACCTGGAAGGGTTTTGTGTTTCATTTTTAAATTATTCAGTCGCACATGCAAGCATTGTGCTGTCACTACAAACAGACGCTTCAGGTTTCACGTTACACACGACATGTTGTCAAACCACTAAATGGTTTTTCAGTTGCTTCACGGTGGAGAACATCACCAGCAGTTTTTGCTCTACGTGCTAAACACCATATTAAGCTTAATTTAAAACTATTCAGGGCTTTGAGGACAAAACAAAGGATAAAATTATAGAATTAACCGAGTAAAGGCTCGTGCAGAATTTGGTAACAACTGTTATTTATCTAGAAATTGCTCGAAAACATTTGGACAGCATTCACTCTTTAAACCCCCAGAGGAAGGCAAGCTGCCTTGAAAAAGATCTAAAAAAACAAACAAAACAAAACTCCTATAATTACGTATTTTTATCATAACAGCAAACTTTTAAAACAGAGAGAATCGGTTCAAAATCAACTTTCTTGTCTGTGATGTGCCATTTAAATCATAATATTTTGCCAGAATCACTTTATTCAACAGCTTGTTTAAAAATTTGATAAAATTGGACCATTTATTGGAGTTCGATTCTGAAAAAATAAAAAAATTCTGGGCTCATCAACGCAGCCGGAAAGCCCTGTGTGACTCATCTGTGAGCAACAGTCAGGTGGCAAAAATTCAGAGAGTTTTCAGCTGAACTGCAGGAAGTGTTTACACAGAGCAGACAGGAGACAAGTGCTGATACTAAACCATCTATAAAATGTAAAGGCATCGTGTTTAACCCCCAGTATTTATTTAATTTAACTGTGGACACTTTATTTTTTTCTTGTAAAATAAACAATCAAAGAAATTCAACATTCAGGTTTTCTTTTCTTTTTTTTATGATCCATGGCATTACACCTGTGTTATAGAGCACAGGAGACATTTTGAAGTTTTCAGCCCTTCTAGCTGTGGTCGGATGCTTCCATAGAGGCACAGGACTTTAAATCGCAGTAAAGATTAAAATGTGATGAGAGAAAAATCCCCCAGAAACTGACTGGAGTTCAGAAGTTACATTGATAGAGGAAGGAGAAAAGCGACAGGAGCACAAACCACTGATGCTAAATGAAGGAAATAATGATAAAAGAAGGCTGAAGAGTTGTAATAAATCCAGGTGCAGACAATCAAGGTGGGCTTTATGCGTAAAAGTCTGCTATTTTAGCGGTCTACGGACATAAACACACCAACATGTGTCAACTTTTGCCTTCCTCAGGGTCCATTCATGTGTTTTTTTGTCTCTATCCCACTACAATAAAGACCTTTTACTTTGGAAAGCCACGTCAACAACAGGACTGTAATAAGTTTCGACTGTTGCACTCATTTCCATCCATTTGGAAACTGCTAATTGCATGTGACATCAGAAAGCAGGTGAGCTACAAATATGTTTATATGAACCCTTATTTGTCACATTACGCTGACAAAAAGCAAAAGCGTAGCTGCCAGTGAGAATAGCAAGACAAAGAAGAAGTTTCTACCTGGTCCTGCCGTCGTCCTGCACGCAGTGGGCCGCGGTGACCACCCATGAGGGACTGATGAGGGACGCTCCGCACACGTGGCCGAAGTTCTTGACGTGGAGGCTGATCTGCCAGGGAAACCCTCCTTCCTCGGCGTCCTGGCCGCCCACAATACGCGACGTCTTGAACTTGCTTCTCCCGCAGTCTGCAGTAAACAAGGAAACAGTCACAGGTTTGGCTTGTCGCTGCTTGTTTGAGTGCCTGAAGTGGGTGGAAGTTCACATCTGTTTGCTCCGCACGTCAAACAATGCGGATCGAGATAATGACTAGTTTTGTTCCCAATCTGAGGTTTCTGTTTGCGACGTACCGCAGTTGTCCTCGTCTGATCCGTCTTCGCAGTCCTCCACGTCGTCGCACTCGGGGTTCACCTTGCTGATGCATTTGTTGTTTTTACATTTGAACGTGAGGTCAGTGCAGCTCACACTAGAGCCTACGGAGGGAGGAGGAGGATAATTATTGAATCTAGAGCTGTGAAACCTGTATCGATGCCTCATTTCAACAATGTTCATGTTTGTCTCTTTGTACACTGTTTAACTGAAGGGAAAAAGTGTTTTTGAAGATGATACGATTAGAAAAATTATGATTTTTTTTGACTGTTTGTTGACTAAAAAACTATGTTTTTCTGTCTCACACACACATAAGGATTCCCTCAGAGTTGTGCTTGTGTCCACCTGATGAATCAATCAAGTCAATACACATCCATCTTTAAGCTCTATATGATATATCAGATTCCTCAGTGGCTTAATGTCGTTCTTTCCAAATGCAATTTTGTGCCAGAGAAGCAGCGTACAGTAGGTTTATCTGAGATTTTTCTGCTTCCTGCTACATCTTAGGACTAAATCAAAACAATAAATGTGTCAAAAGATCTTTAAAAGAAGGTAAAAAGCTTGGAAAAGCCTCGGAGTTGGTTGATTTCTGCTGTATTTTTTTTTACCACAAGTCACCACTTCATTTTGCACATCATCATGAATTTATATAAAGTAAACTCCAAATAGCCAGCAACAATTACAATTTAGGCTTCGGATGGAATTGCTCGACTCTGCTGGCAACTCATTCTGCTTGTTTGGAGAAAAATCTTAATATTTATCAGAAAATAACTGTTGCAGTTCAGCAGAAATCCAGTCTTACCTCCTCCACAGTCGAGCTCATCTGATCCGTCCGCGCAGTCCACCCTGCCGTCGCACTTCTTCTTCTCGGAAACACATTTGCTATTCTTGCAGGTGAACTGTCCAGATGGACATCCACCTTAAAAAGGAAAAAAAAGAAAAACAAGCATGAGAAAACTGACTGAAAGCCTTCAACAAAATTCACCCTCCATCGGTGTGAACGCGTCTTACCACAGTTCATCTCATCTGTTCGGTCTCCACAGTCGTCCACGTCGTCACACTCCCAGAACTTGGGCTTACACAGACCATTCTTACAATGGATGTCTGTAGCGCGGCACGCTAGAAGAAAAACACAGTTTAAAAGACTGACTAATGCCGCTCTAACTCACTGCAGGGATATGGAGGGTGATTTAAAGCGTTGTTAACCCTCTGAACTTCCTGGGCTCTTTTGTCTCCCATCACAGTTTAACTCACTGTGTTCTTATTTTCTTATTTTTAAAATTCCTGCACCTCAGCACAATCATGACACGGAGTAGACAGAGCTCAGAAATGTCTTTTGTGCAGTAAAACACAGACATACTGCTAGAAATCGCAAAAAGGAAAAACAAGAGTTGGACTTTCTATGATTATTTATTTCACAAAAACTGGGAAAGCCTGGAAACACGCAAATATTTTTCCAAGTGCTGACAGGAAAAAGCACAGTGACTCAACGTACTGTAGATATTTTATGAAATGAAAAATACTTTATTTATCCCAGAAGGGAAATTCAATGATTTTAAAAATTAAAAAAAATTAAATAATTAAATATTTATTATATTTTTATTAATATTTATTTATATTATTGTTAATATTTATTTATTTTATAAATAGTTAAATAATTTTTAAAAATTTTACCACTTGCAAATTCATTTATTTACATACTCGTCTCCTGTCTGCTCTGAGTAATACACTGCCTGCAGTTAATCCCAATTCAGCTGAAAAGACCCAACGTTTTTGGAAATGCATTGATATATATTTATTTACAAAAAGTTATACCAACACTGTAAAAAATCTCTGAAAAAAATTCGGATATTATTTACATTTTTGAATTTGTTTCCATACTTGCATCCTGAAAATTTTTTGTCACGTGACTGCTGTTCTCACGTGAGTCACTAATGGCTTCCTGGTTGTGTCAAGGAACACAGAATTTTTTGTTTTTTACAGAATGTAGTTTGTAGAAACGGTTTATTTTTGTCGTATGATTTAAGCTTAGATTTCCTCCTTTACATTACAGAGGAGTAGTTCAGGGACCGTTGGACAGTTGAAAATCCAATGTTTTGTTCTATTTTACAGTTTCTAGCTCTGATAAATGTTGTACATTATTTTTAAACCTGCCCAGTGGGTTTTTGGAGTTCAGAGGGTTAAACACAGAAGCCGAAGCATGACACGAGTAAACGTTACTCACTGCAGTTCAGCTCATCGCTCATGTCTCCACAGTCGTTCCAGCCGTCGCACCTGAGCTCCTTCTTGATGCAGCGCTGATTCTTGCACTCGAACTGCTTTGGACAAGCTGTGGGTGACAGGATTAACATGAGAAACGCTTTCCCTGATATGAGGAAATAATCCGCAACAAACGGAGTCTCTTACGGTCTTTACGGTCGATGGCCTCAAACTGAGCGTCGAACCCTCGGTCCACGTAGGAGGCGTCGGAGAAGAACGTCACGTCCAGTTTGTTGCTGCTGCTGGTTTCTATCGCCGTTCCGTCCGGTTGTTCTCCACACAGTCTGAGGATGAGACGTACAAGCTCTGACACGTCGGCTCTGCTGTCAATCTGGGTTTTATAAAACATGCACAAATACAGACTCACTTCTTCCCGTGGATTTCCACGTAGTCTTTGCGACAGTCCTTGTTCTTCTCCTGGCCCGGCTCGGACAGGAGGAACTTCTTGAAGGTCACCTTCACCGCCTTACCATCAGGGACCTTAATGTTGGAAAGAGACAAGTTAAAACCACATAAGGGCCGACAGGGAACAGAAATATGAGTGAAACATGTGATAATGAGTTAATTAGGTGTCGACGTCTCACCTGGATCGACCACTGACACGTTAATTTAGGAGGAAAGTAATTTGGGAAGTGTGGAGAAGAGAAGCTGCCGCTGTCACCGGTCAGCCGGCCTCCACATGTCGTCCCTAGGAAAAGAAATCATACGTTGTTGTACAAATATTGACAATCTGAAACCTAAAACCTACCAGCAGGTTGAAAAGACAACATTTCTTAGAGGGTGAAACTGTAAAAACTGAAGGAATAGTCAGGTTTTTACTTTAGGATGCACAAATCTCAGTTTAAAAATGCGTTATTCAATTAAAATCACATTATTCTACATGTCTTATTTAAAGATTGGCAACAAATAAACAGTTTGTTCAAAGCAGATTCTGTAAAAAACAAAACATTCTCCAGTGTTTGGCTCAATTAAGAAGCCTTTAGTGATTGAGCTGTGTCTGAAGTACAAATTTCAAAAATTCAGAGACTTTTCAGCTGAACTGCAGGATGTGTTTACACAGAGCAGAGAGGAGACATGTTGGGCTTTTTCATCCATCCATCCATCATCTATACACCGCTTAATCCTCACTAGGGTCATGGGGGGCTGGAGTCTATCCCAGCTGACTCAGGGTGAAGGCAGGGGACACCCTGGACAGGTCACCAGTCTATCACAGGGCTACACTTAGAGACAGACAACCAAGCACACTCACATTCACACCTACGGACAATTTACAATCACCAATTAACCTCAACATGTTTTTGGACTGTGTGGGAGGAAGCTGGAGAACCCGGAGAGAACCCACGCTGCACGAGGAGAACATGCAAACTCCGGTGACCTTCTTGCTGCGAGGCAATAGTACTAACCAACTGTGCCACCTTGCAGCCCTGGCTTTTTCATTTATTAAAAAAACCCCCAAAAAAACGGCCATTTGCTTGAAAAAACATTCTGTAAAAAACAAGAAATTCTTCACTCCTCAATGCAACTGTGAAGCCATCCGTGATTTAGCTGTGACTAACAGCTACGTTACAAAAATTCAGGGATTTTCGAGGTAACTGGGCTGAACTGCAGGCTGCGTTTATACAGAGTAGACAAGTACGGAAACAAATCAAAAACTAAAGGAGTAAACCATCTAGAGTATGTAGAGCCTAATGTTTTTTTCAGGTTTTGGTAATGCCTGTGAAAAATGTTGTGGATATCAACCTTTGCAATAAAAAGAATTAAGGAAATTCAACTTTTTGTTTTTTTATGGCACTATAACTATGGCATACTGCTGTGATTGTGCTGCTTCCATAGAGGTGCAGGACTTTATACTGCAGTGGAAAATGAGACCACAGTGAGTAAAAAAAAAAAAAGAAAGCTCCCAGACACTGCTTGGGGTTCAGAGGGTAAAACATTTATGCTGCTGAATAGTAATAGTGAGGCTGAATCTGGACTCATCCAAACAGTATTTCCTACCTTTGCTTCCCCGTCGAACCTGTGAGATTTGAGCTCGAAAACCGGGGAAGTTGTTTTTGTCGTTTGTGGCCATGGTCACCAGCATGACGTTCCCAGACGACAGGAAGGCCAGCGGTTCACTGGGGGAGTAGTAGCCACACATCCTGGACAAAAAAACAGAAATCCACGAAATCGCTGTTTAATGATTGATACAACGTGAAAACATTAACCCTCCTTAAAAAAAACAACAGCTTGTCTCACTCAGCTAATGTGATGCAGTCTTTCTCAAATTACATTTTTACATTAAAAACACTTATGTGCAAGATCAAGTGCCATTTTTGAGGATTTTCCTGTTGCATCAAGAATGAAAACACTGATTGAATCTTGTATTTTTACCTTTAGCCCACACAAATACTTCATATTTTACTAATCCACTCCCCTCCATAGAAAAACAAGCATCGTGTGGCGTCAATTTTGGTAAAACATTTGGATAGCTGCGGGGAAATTACACATTTTTCTAATTTTTGGAGTGGAAATAAGAAAACGCAGTTATAAACGACACAAAATGAGCTTTTCTGTAAATGGTAATGCACTGTTACGTCTTATTTTACAACTTAACTAACAAAAAATAAGCAGCAAACGTGTGAGGTCGAACACTCTGCTAAGTCCGTATGTAGTAAAGAAAGGCTCGTTTTTTTTAATGTCTGTATTTAGTTATGTGATTAGTGGCTATATTTAATTTATTTTCCTGAGGGATTTATGTCTTTAGGGCAAGAATGCCACTAATAAACTTATCGTACATGCATGAAAGCTGTGTGACTACATGGTTCTTTTGCTTTCAGGTTTGGATTAAGCGCTTTTATTCTAGAGAAGGTTTAATCCAGCCAGCGTTGCTCAACCGCAGCTCTACCTGCAGCAACATCAGAACCACGGCGTCCGACCAGCAGAGGGCCTTACGTGCAAGATAAATCTGAATCGTGCACAGAGCTCTTCACTGGTGCTTCAGAAGGGCAGACTCACTCTTCCATGACGCGGCTCTCGATGGCCACCAGGGAGTCGTAGATTTTCACAAAGTCGTTCTTGCAGTTCTCCTCCAGGTGCATGGTGTCGAACTCCAGCTTGATGACGTGGCCCGGGTCGGCCCTCAGCTGCCACTGCATGAAGGCGTTGGGGGGATACCAGCTGTCGGGGAAGCCGGGGGACTGGATCTGTCCCAGTTTGTTGGTCGCTGTGTGCTCTGCGAACCTGAGATGCTCTGAGACAGAAACGCTGACGTTGAGTGGAATTCACGTCGCTGTCAAAACACGTTGACCGACAGATTCTCACACAAGTTACAGGACAAACTCACATCGAGGTGTTGGGTCTCAATGTGCTCCATTTACTAGACATACATAATGCTTTTACATCATACTATCTGCTTTCTAACCATTATTTTAACGGAATTTCTGAAATGTCCTAAATGCAGTGAAACTAAATAAG